GACTAGAAAGGGGGTCAGGTTGTGAAAGTCTTTAAATGCCAAACAGAGACACTGATGTGTAACTTTGGTGGTCATACAAGACCGCTGCAGTTTACTGAGTAGAGGGATGGCATAGTCAGACTTTAGGAAAATCACTGGCAACTATGTGGTGGATGGACTGGAATAATGAGAAAGACCCGAAGCAGAGAATCCAACCAGAAGGCTCTGTTGATGGTTTAGGCGTGAAGTGATGAAGACCTGCATCAAGGTGGTGACTGTATGGGAGGAAAAATGAGAACTAAATGAGACTGAGCACAGAATAATCCTTTTTTGGGTCATAGATGTGGAGCTAGGGAGGGGCAGAGCCAAGATGGCAGAATAAAAGCAGTGACTTCCTTCAGCTCTCCCCCAAATCCCTGTAAAAAAACAGCTCTAATCAAATTCTAGAGCAGCAGAATCCACAAAAACACAGTGAGACAAATTTCTAGCCCAAGACAACCTGAATGGTTGATTAGAAAGGTCTATTGCAGTGGACTTGGAGGAGAGTGCAGTTCAGTGTGGACCAAACAGGCAAAGCCCAGGCCTTAGGGAACCTGGGTCGGTCCTGAGGGGATTGAATTAAGGAGAGCTGTGGTGGTTTACAGACTACTCAGCCCACAAACACCAAAGAAAACTTAGAAGGTTAGTAGGAAAGGTTTGTCAGACCACAGTGAGAGAGGAGCTTGGTCCAGCCCCAGTCCCAGCACAGCCCTGAGGCAGCAGCTGCTTCCAGAGCTCTTGGCCCACAGCCTGAGGGGCAATGGAGTGGCTGATCAGAGGGGGATTGCAGGGATCTCTTTGCTGGTACTGAGGCAGAATTTTTTTGCTTTGCCAGTGCTGGATCTGGGTGGCAGTCCTGGAGCTTGGTGGAGCTTGTGGTGGTAGTGGAGAGCGAATCTTCCTCACAGTTCCAAGGCAGAAAAGAGGTCACTCATAGACCAGAGCACAGGCCAGGAAAGGAGTAAACACCCTGCCCTTGATCATACCACCTTGGGAGAACTGAAAATTTACAGGTCCCTAGAAGTATCTCTGAAAACAGTTGCACAAAACCACAAAGCTTGGGACAGTACGTTCTCCACACTGGAAGCAGACCCTCAGCTTAACAAAGAGTTTAAAACTCGAGTAATTAGCTGGGAACATGACCAAACAGCACAAAAAGACTCGGACCATAGAATCTTACTTTGGTGACAAAGAAAATCAAAACACACAGCCAGAAGAAGATAAGAAAGTCAAAGCTCCTATATTCAAAGCCTCCAAGAAAAATACGAATCAATCCCAGGCCATGGAAGAGCTCAAAAAGGATTTTTAGAAGCAAGGAAGTAAGAGAAGTAGAGGAAAAACTAGGAAGAGAAATGAGAGTGATGCAAAAAAATCATGAAAAACAAGTCAACAATTCTCTAAAGGAGACGCCAAAAATACTGAAGAAAAATGGCAAAAGAGGTCCAAAAAGCCAATGAAGAGTGGAATGCCTTAAAAAGTAGAATTGGCCAAGTGGAAAAGAAAGTCCAAAAGCTCACTGAAGAAAATACTTCCTTAAAAATCAGAATGGAGCAAATGGAAGCTAATGACTTCTTGAGCAATCAAGAAATTATAAAAGGAAACCAAAAGAATGAAAAAATAGAAGACAATGTGAAATATCTCATTGGACCAACAACTGACCTTGAAAATAGACCCAGGAGAGAGAATTTAAAAATTATTGCACTGCCTGAAAGTCATGATGAAAAAAAGAGCCTAGACATCATGTTTCAAGAAATTATCAGTGAAAACTGCCTTGATATTTTAGAACCAGAAGGTAAACTAGAAATGGAAAGAATTCCCTGATTACCTCCTGAAAGATCCCCAAAGGAAAACCTCTAGGAATATATTCTTTAGCCAAATTCTACAGTTCCCAGGTCAAGGAGAAAATATTGCAAGCAGCCGGAAAGAAACAATTCAAGTATTATGGAAAAACAATCAGGATAACACAAAATTTAGCAACTTCTACATTAAGAGAGCAGAGGGCTTGGAACATAATATTCCGGAGGGCAAAGGAGATAGGATTACAACCAAGAATCACCTACCCAGCAAAACTGAATATAATTCTTCAGGGAAAAAATGGATATTCAGTGAAATAGAGGACTTTCAAGCATTCTTGATGAAAAGAGCAGAGTTGAATAGAAAATCTGACTTTCAAATACAAAAGAGAAGTAGGAAAAAGTAAACAGGAAAGAGAAATCATAAGGGACTATTCTATTCTATTCTATTCTATTCTATTCTATTCTATTCTATTCTATTCTATTCTATTCTATTCTATTCTATTCTATTCTATTCTACTCTATTCTATTTGTAACTCATGAGACCTTTGTCAGTATTAGGGTAGTTGGAGGGAAAAAATTATATGTGTAGATAGATAGATAGATAGATAGATAAATGATAGGTAAATAGAGGGCACAGGGTGAGTTGAAGATGAAGGGGTGATTATCTAAAAAGTAAAATTAAGGGATGAGAGAGGATTATATTGGGAGGAGAAAGGGAGAGGTAGAATGAGGTAAATTATTTCACATGAAACAGGCAAGAAAAGGCTTTTACAGTGGAAGGGAAGTGGGGAAAGGTGAGAAGGAATGAATGAATCTTGTGCTCATTGAATTTGGCTTAATAAGGGAATAACATACACACTCAATTGGGTATGGAATGCTATCTTACCCTACAGGAAAATTGTGAGAAAGGGAATAAGAGGGGTGGAATGATAGAAGGTAGGTCGGATTGGGGGAGGGGTAATGAGAAGCAATACTTCTGAGGAGGGACAAGGTTAAAAGAGAGAATAGAATAAAGGAGTGGAACGAGACGGGATGAAGGGAAATATAGTTAGTTTTTCACAACATGACTACTATGGAAGTGTTTTGCATGACTACACATGTATAACCTGTATCAGGTTGCTTGCCTTCTCAAAGAGGGTGGGTGGGAAGGGAGGAAGGGAGAAAATTTGGAACCCAAAGTATTAAAAACAAATGTAAAAAATTGTTTTTACATGCAACTGGGAAATAAGATATACAGGCAATGGGGCATAGAAATCTATCCTGCCCTAGAAGAAAATAGAAAGGGAAGGGGATAAGAGAAGGGGGGGGTGATAGAAGGTAGGGCAGATTAGGGGAAGGGGTATTCAGAATCCATGCCATCTTGGGATGGGGGGAGGGGCAAGATGGGGAGAAAATTTGGAACTCAAAATCTTGTGGAGTGAATGTTGAAAACTAAAAATAAATGTATTAATAAATGTTTAATATAAAAAATTAAAAAAAGAAAGAGAAAAGAAGAAAATAGATGTAGAGATAGCTCATAGGTCATTTAGTCTATTCCTCTCATTTTAGGAAACAGGGCTAGGATGGTTGTGACTTACCTAAGGTCACATAAATAGTAAGTACCTGAGCTAGGATCTGAACCCTTATCCCTTGATACCAAACTCAACATTTTTTCCTCTGTCCAATATTGCTTTATTGTGACTCTTCCCAGATAAAATAAAAGAATTTATCTAATAAAAATTTATTGAACATTAGCCATATGCCAGTCACTATACTAGGTGCTTTGTGTGATGCAACTTTGAATAAGATAAGATCCTTGACTTCACAAAGCTTCCACAGGATACAGGAGAAATACAGAATTCACTATAATACAATATAGTTTGTAATGCATGTGTAGGCTTTATATATACTTGCTTGGGTCCTCCTCCAACCTCCATTTACACTGACAAGTTGGGTCCCACGGAGTAAAGCTGATTATATCTTTCCCTTAGGGTTCTAGGCTTACCCCTGATGGGACTATGGGGCTGTCTGTTTTAAAATGACTTCTCGTGAGCCTCCACCCGAGTGCTTTTCACTATGCATATTAATTGTTATTAATTAGTCTGCCAGACTCAATTAGTTTTTAGAAAAGGGTTTTTATTAAGGTAATATGATAAAAAAAACAGTTGGTACAAATATCCCCCCAAGTATCTTTGGGGTGCTCTCTCACAAATACATTGAGTGCAGAGGAAAGTGGATTCAAGCCTAGAGAGCACATGCAACAAAGAGGTAACTCACAGCTCTTGCAAATGCTTATGCTATACTCCTCCAGATGGTTCTCTTAGGTATGTGTGTGTGTGTGTGTGTGTGTGTGTGTGTTTGTGTGTGTGTGTGTGTGTGTGTGTGTTTTCCTTCTGTGCTCTTTAAAGAGCCTTGAATTTGTATGGAGTCTGTCCTTGTCTCCCTTTTCAGACATTGCCACCTGCTGTTCTGAGGACCCTGCTAGGATGCTGATGGGAAGATGGAAAATCATGAGAAGATGGGTCGTCTAAAATCCTAGAACTCCAAAGGATCCTTCTCTGAACAAGGCAGAAGGTATACCTAGGCTGAGGTTTAGGGGTGACCCCCGAGCAATTCTTACTCAGCAATGCTTCTCTAGTCTCTCTGCTGCTAGACATTTTAATCCTTGATTCCAACTAGTTCTGGCATCTTATACAGGTCCCAGAAGTTGTAACCAAGTGCCACCACCAATCCAAACAGACTTTGTGTTAAACCTAGGCCTTGTTCACACCTAGAGGATAATTAGGATATATTCTCATCTGATAAATATAACAGGGCTTAGCATTTTCATTCAATGGAGTAGGATGGTTTGATTGATTTGGGGTCCCGCCTCAAAATTACTCTGGCCATAACTGAGTAGTGAGCCAGTAGGGGTAGCCTGGTAGCATAGTGGATAGAGTGCCAGGCCTGAAGTCAGGAAGATTCATCTTTCTGAGCTCAGATCTGGTCTTGAACACTTACTAGCTGTGAGACCTTGGGCAAGGAACTTAACCCTGTTCACCTCAGATCCTGTTCTGTAAAATGAGCTGGAGAAGGAAATGGCAAACCACTGCAGTATCTTTGCCAAGAAAACCCCAAATGAGGTCACAAAGAGTTGGATGTGACTGAATGAACAGCAGCGACAACAAAAAGCTTGTACCTATTATAGGCTGTGAGAGAATACATCCGGATAGGTTAAGCAGTGAACTTTTAATCTCCTACTATGTGCAAAGCACTGTGGTGGGTACTTGGTAATACAGAAATATTAGATAATACAGGGTTCCTGCCACCATGGAGCTAATAGCTTCATAATGGAAGGCTGCTAGGAAGACTTCATGGAAGTCATTCCTATGAATCTCATTCTTGCCCAGGGACACAGAGCTCTGTGAGGTGACTGCTGGGCAGTTCTAGGAGAATGAAACATGCAGGTGGATGGAATTATGCCATCATTATCAAGACCTAAAATATAATTTGGTGACTTGGGCATATAGAAAAGGCCCTGTGACATAAAGGCAGAAGGGAAATCGTGAATAAAATAGAAGGTTCGTGTCTGTTTAGGACTATGCCTTGGTGGAGAACAAAGTCAGGTATGACTTTACTCTTCTGACCAGCTTCTTCTTGTGGGCAGAGACACCTCCCTCACTGACCCTGAGGTCCCAGCAGCCTGGAGGATAATACATCAATGATTCTAACACTATTAATTCTGTAATCTGCCACATCAGGGGGAGGAAGACCTCTCAGCCTTTCTTGTTAGCCTTGGCATGAGTAGAGGGAGGCCAAACGGTAGCTCTATCCATTGGCCAAGCATGCAAACTGTGGCTGGAGGGTCCTGGTTGGCTTCAGTATGTTGATTTCTTTTTTAACGGTAGCTGAGGAACCTGAGGGAGGGGATGGGGGCTTCCATCATTGTTTGTTGACTAATGACATGTTTTTTCCTAGTCGACGTGGCTGGGGCTCTGTGACCTGGCGCTTCTTAGCTGGGCCCTCTTCAGTTTGCCCCTTGTCCAGGGTGAACCTGCTGCCCAGTGTCCACAAGAGGATTCCAAGGAGGAGAAGCCCCTTCCACAGGAGAATCCACTTCAAGGGGCAGGAGTACACATTCACAGGCTCTATTGGATCAGAAACAGAGAATTGGCCACGTGGAATAGGAGACAGTTCGGGTTGGTTGGGATGATGGGTGGGAATTCATCTGGGCAATTTACTCCCAAGAGGTTGGGCAGATTCCCAGGATGCCAGACCGCTCAGTAGAGCTTTTAGGTATAGATAGTCAGATTATTGATGTCACTTGAGGGGCAGGACCAGGGTTATGGTAAAACCATGCTGCCTTCTCTGTACTGCTTTCAATGGTGAAAGGTGAGGTCTGTGGGTGAGCCCATTCCAAAGTAGGTCAGAAATATTCCCCTTGACATCAAGGTTATCCCTTGCTGTTCCCCAAACCCCATCCCTCACCCTCCACTCCTAGGAAAGCACAGAAGGTTCAGATTGCTCCCATTTCACTGGAGTGGCCTCCCAAATCATCGCGAGAAGAGGGGACAAGGATGTGGGACAAAAGCATTGCACCTCCAGTTCAGCATTTCTTAAACTGTGGGTCAGACCCATATGGGGACGTGTCAGTGAATGTGGGGATCATGAAAAATTTGGGAACAGTAAAAGATTTCTGAACGTGATTAAAAATTAATTAATAATTAAAAGTGTAATGAATCCGAGGTGTTTCTGGCAGCACTTGCCTTCAGCAACTTTGCCGAAGCCTTGGTTCTGAACACTAAACATGTGCACTTTGCACTGTGCACACCCTCACACCACGCTACACTAACAAACACTGCCAGAAACCCCTTTGCTTAGATTCAAGACTATTGTCTGTGGTAAAATTATATGTACACCAAAGAATTCTTTTAAAACAAATTCGTTTATGATTTATTATCAGTAAATGTTTGATTTGTATACCTATTTTATATGCCTGTATACCTGGGGTTGTATAAAAATTTCTTGGGCGAAAAAGGGTCACAAGAGGAAAAAGTTAAGTAGCACTGCCCTAGTTCCAATGAAAGAGTATGACTGAGCAGCTTTGCTAAACTCCTACCTGTGTAATTGGTATGTGATATGAATTACCCAGCTTTCCCATTTAACCCTGGAACTCACTCTCCCCACACCTACCTCCCACTTCTGAGATCCATCACACCTACCCTGTGGGGCTTTGTCTGAAGCATAGATGTCCTTCAGAGCACAGATATCCTTCAGGTCTATGGTGATATTTCTCTGATCCACAGGATTACTGGCCAAGCAGGTAAGTGAGGAGTTTGATGGACCCACGGGTAAGGACAGACTCACAGTTCTGGAGTTGGTAGATTCCTCTGACAGTTCTGCTTGGTTCAGCCCACTCAGGAGGTTCCTACTTCTCCAGGTTATTGTTACAGATTTCCCAGGCCCTGAGACTTGGCAATCCAGAGTGATGTTGCACCAGAGTGGTGTGAGACACTGGGACTGGATATGGATCTGAGGGTCAGGGATGGGTTCTGGGGTCAAAGGAAAAGGAGAGAAATTAGGGCCAGGTACATGGAATATCAGAAGTCTTCACTCAAACATAAGATGCCATCAGCTATCTTTCACAGAATGCTAAGCTTCACAAAAGGGAGTCCTTTATAGTACTCAATAGATATAGAACAATCACCACCAGAACGTGTTAGGGAAATTTGGCTCCAGGGTAAAGAAGCACCGCCTGGATCTTCCAATCAAAATTATAATTCATGGTGTGAAAAAATACAACTAACTGAGGGAAATTTAGTTGAATGTATGATGGTAGATTTAGTTATTAAATCGGCTCCTGTGCTTCTGAAACAGCCCAGTTTTTGCTTCCTCTCAATTTTGGTGCTGTGAAGCCAATCCCTGGGTGCTCGATCCTAGTTAGAGCTCTGATAAGCACTCTTCCATTTTCCAAAGGAGAAAATGAGGACCAGAGAAGAGAAGAGGTTCATTCTACTGGCCAAGTAGCCTAAAAATTCTGTCTCTTAGTTCCTGCTTTCTCTCTTTTGGTACTGAAGACTGGGTGAAAATATCTAGTTAGGAACTGAGTGGGTTTTTTTTTGTAATTGTTTTGGGATTTAAGGAATAGAATTAGGGTAAATGGAGGTGGAGAGAGAGAGGTCTATAGGTGACTGAGTTAACTTTGAAAGAGGAAGGATCCTATGATTTGGAGGAACTTGGGTGCTGTGTTCCAGAATGAGTCCTTCTCTACTGTCTCTGAATCCCCTTCCGCAGACTTTGGCTTTCATATCGGACTTTGGAGGGAAAGAGGTACAAAGAACAGCCTGTCTATGGGTGAAGAAGGCATCTGTGTCTTGGCTGCAGTAAGCTCTGCCTTGAGGAGTGAAGGGGGTAGGGGAGAAGCAGTAGCAGAGGCAGCAGAAGGAAGAGAAGCAGAATAAAAAGGAGAAGAGGAGGAGAATAAAGACAGGAGTATAGAAGAAAAATTAGTTTTGGCAGCATCAGCAGAGTCACACACGTAAGAAGTATCTGAGGCCAGATTTGAATTTGAGTCTGACTCCCAAGTCCAGGATTCTATCCACCTAGCTACTTAAAACAAAACAGAACCGAGCAACAACAAGAAAAACCCCAAACATGTTTGTTTTTACCACCCATCTGACCTTGAGCAAGTCACTGAATTTCCCTAGCCCTCAGTTGCCTCAGTAGTAAAATGAGGGAGAGGTTGGACTAGATAGCCTGTAAGGAACTTCCCAGTGGAGCTGTCTGAACATAGCATGGGCTACCTTGGGTGAGTCAGGACATAGTCATGAGTTCTGTGGTGAGGGAAGTCTTCCATCGAGGTGAAATGATTGCTTGCCTGGGATGCTGCAGAAGGATTTCCCTGAGGTTACAGGTTGGATTAGAATCAGTGCTTCTTAAACTGTGGGTTGTGACCCCCAGATTTGGCAAAAGTAAAAGGTTTCTGAATGCCAAAAATTCTGAATGCCAGAAATTATTTAATAATCAATTGTGTAATGAATCTGATGTGTTTCTGGCAGTTCTTTCCCGTGTTGCATGATATGATTTCACTGCAGCCTTGGTTCTGAACACAAAGCATGGGCACTTTGCACTGTGTAGACTCTCAGGCCACACAACATCAACAAAAGCAGCTGAATCTTGAAAAGGGGTCACGAGTGAAAAAAGTTTGAGAAGCCCTGGACTAGATGACCACTGAGGTCCCTTTCAACTCTGGGGTGCTCTGATTCTAGGCTCCCTAGCCTTTGGAGCCATATTTACCATAGATGGAGAGGGCAAAGGAATGAACATTGAACACTCCAGAAATGAGTAAGACCCGAGCCTCATACAATCCACTGTCCTTGAGAGTCACATTCCTAATGATGAGGGAGCCATCATCCATGGCATCCAGCCTCTTTTTGTATCTGTCCAAGGGGCTGTACCAAAGAAAAGAGTGGCTCCCAGGCTGAAGGGAGAGCAGCTGAAGCTTCTCAGAATTAAACCTCCATTCAATCTCTTGGATTTCTGTCCCTTGGGAGACATTCAGTGCGAGCAGGATGTCTCCCTTAACAATCCCATCCACGGTGTGGCAAGAGTTCCTGGCTCCTTTCTTCTGAGTGCCTGTGTTGGAAGACCAGAGAGTCATTCAAAGGCTTCATTCATTCAACAACCATTTAATAAAGCTCTTACTATGTGCAAAGCAGGTGCTTGGCACTAGGGAATCTACAAAGATAAACAAAATGTGGTTCCTGGCCTCATGGAGCTTATCACTTAGAAGATAGCTATCATGTATAGCTTTAAGGTTCACAAAGGACTTTACACACATTATCTCGTTTTATCCTCACAACAACCCTGGGAGGTAGGTGCAATTATTCTCCCCATTTTGTAGCTGAGGAAACTGAGTCACAGAGAGATGAGGTGACTTGTCCAGCTTCACACAGCTAGTGAGTGTCAGAAGCAGGATTTTAACTGAAGCGAGATTTCCTGACTTCAGCACTCTGTGCACTGAACCATCTAGATGCCTGGAGGATATAACACATAGACCAGAATGCAATTTGTTTTTATTGTGGTATCATAAGATCAGATAAGAGCTAGAAGGAGACTTAGTGAATCCTCTTATTTTACATGTGAGGACACAGATCGGCAGGGGAGAACTAACTTGCCTCAAGTCACAGAGTAGTTACCAAAGCTGAGAACTGAACCCAGGTCCTGGAGCTCTCCTCCTCTACAAACCAGCTGCCTCTCAAAGCTTAAGACTTCAGTAACTGAATGACCTCAAGGACATAGGCATTCTTGTATAGGTCTCCATCAGATCACAGGTCCTCCCCTTCTCATCCTGGGAGATTCTTGTCTGTTTGTTAAGTTGTTTTTCACATATCCGACTCATTGTGACTCCATTTGAGGTTTTCTTGGCAGAGATACTAGAGCAGTTTGTCATTTCCTTCTCCAGCTCATTTTACAGATGGGGAAACTGTAGATCAAGTGACTTGCCCAGGGTCACACAACTGGTGTCTGAGGCCAGATTTGAACTCAGGAAGATGAGTCTCCCTGATTCCAAGGCTGACACTCTATCCACTGTGCCACCTAGCTGCCTGATTTTTTGACTATGTCCTCCCGTAAATCCTCCACAGAAGACTTAATCATCATACCCAAGGCCATTTTGTAGAGCTTTTGATCTGTGATTATCTGTGCAGCCTCAGAATTACTTTTTTTTTTTTTTTGGGGCTAGGCAATGAGGTTAAGTAACTTGCCCAAGGTCACAACTAGTAAGAGTCAAGTGCCTGAGGCCGGATTTGAGCTCAGGTCATCCTGACTCCATTGTCAGTGCTCTATCCACTACACCACCTAGCTACCCCTCAGAATTACTTTTGACAGATGCCTGAGCCACCTCTTTTCCTTGCTGTTCAACTTCTTTTATTCCACTTTTTTGATACCCAAGTCATAGCTGTAGATATATAGGTGTTCCAAAAGACTTAAGGCAGTTTAAAAAACTTAATGAATTAATTTTTAGTTTTCATTATTCACTTTTATAAGAATTTGAATTCCAATTTCCCCCCCCCTTTCCCTTTTCCTTCCCCAAGGTGGCATGCAGTCTGACATAGGCTATCCATATATAATCATATTAAACATATTTCTACATTAGTCATGTTATGAAAAGAAGGATCAGAACAAAAGGGAATAATCACAACAGAAAAAAAAGAGCAAATAGTATGCTTCGATTTATAGACTCCATAGTTCTTTCTCTGGATGTGGATAGCATTTTCCATCATGAGTCTTTTGGAATTGGCTTAGATCATTGTATTACTGAGAAGTGGACTTAGGGCCATTTTAAGCTTTAATAGCTAAACCCTATAAAACAATAACAAAGCAATAATAAAAAAGAAATAAATAAAAATCAATTTAATCTTCAATAGTTTAAAACTGAATTAAGGCTTTTGGGACGCTGTATAGCATAAAGCTTGTCTAAGACTTTTGGGACCTGCTGTATTGTTGATAAAACATGTCTCTTCTTTCATGCCTCTTATGCCACACTTCAGAACTCCACTGATCTCTCAGCTCATAAATCTCATGAGGCTTTTCTGCAACAACCAAGGAGAAACTGAGGCAGTTTGCTGAAGTCACTAGGTAACCTTGTAGTCAGAAAGTTTATGTCCTGCCTCAGACATATGCTGGCCATTTGGCTTTGAGCAGTCACTTAATTGCTAAGTGCCCCAGACAACTCTCTTAGACTATAAGTTGCAGGGGTGATCACCTTTTTTTTTTGTGGTAGAGGAAGTTCCTCCCTGGTAACCCCTTACACTTATAAAATCACTGGTCTTATTAAATTAAAAAAAACAAAAATGGTGGGGTGCCGCTAGGTGGCAAAGTGGATAGAACACCAGCTCTGTAGTCAGGAAGACTTGAGTTCAAATCTAGCCTCAGACCAGACACTTGACACTTACTGTCTGTGTGACCCTGAGCAAGTCACTTAACACCAATTTCTTCACCAAAAAAAAGAGATAAAAAAGGACTGGTGGAAACCTAGGGAGTAGATAAATTGTGTTCTCTTAGCTAATAAATACAACTAGAGAACAGATTAGGGGCAGCTAAGTGGCGCCATAGGGCACAGAGTGATGGGCCTAGAATCAGGAAGACTCATCTTCCTGATTTCAAATCCACCTTCAAATACTAGCTGTGTGACCCTGGGCAAGGCACTTAACCTCCTTTGCCTCAGTTTCCTCATCTGTCAAATGAACTGGAGAAGGAAATGGCAAACTACTCCAGTATCTTTGGCAAAAAAACACCAAAAGAGATCAGAAAAAGTCTGAAAATGATAGAATGAAAAGCCACAGTGCCTGGATCTAGTCTCAAATGCCTAAGATTTTATCCTTGTCCCCAACAAGAATATAACAAATATCTATTCCCTTCTTGGATGACAATCTGTAGAGAATATACCTGTGTTCTTTGGACCCACTAAAAGTGGGAGTGGGACAAGGAAGAGGGGACAAGTTTAGGAAGCCCTAGGCGTGAATGATGCAAACTTTCCAACCAAATACCAGTTTTATACCATCACATATTTTGAAAATCACCATGTAATCAATTGCTCAGAACTGAAGCTCTGATTATGCATGGACTAAGTTTAGTCTTTGGACCTGTGATTTCCTTGGTATAGGGAATTACCAGTGATTATTACCTACTGTGCAATCTCAAAGAGTTACTTGGGGCATTGAGAGAGTGTGTGTCTTGCCTCGTGTTATAGCCAGTAGGTATCAGATTCAGAAATTGCAGAGATCTTCCTGACTCCATGGATGGCTTCCTAGCCACTCTACCAAGCTGTCTCTCAGTAGCTGGCATTTACATAGCATTGTGAGGGTTGCAGTGAACTTCTTAATGTAGCCCTTGCTTCTAAATGATCTTTTTTCATCTCTGTGGTGACCCAAGGGTCCAGGAAGTCTTACCCAATAAGACAGACTTTGTGGCAAGACAAATAGAATTGAGAATGTCAAGCCCACCAGTGAAAGTGAGATTGCCCCATCATCTCAAAGCAATTTCAACAGATTTTACTTTTTAAAAAAGTTGATGACTTTTGTTTTTCACATCATCATAATTTCTCCAGTATCTTTTCCTCTCCCTGTCCCAGAGAATCTTCTCATATAACAACCAGTACTTTTAAAGACAAAAAAGGGAAAAGAAGAAAAAAATCAGCATAAATGACCAATGCATTGAAAAAGTCTCACAGTAAGTGAAATGTACAATGCTTGTGGACCTCCTATCTCTGCACAGAGGTGGGATGGGGCTGTCTTCTCCCTTTTCCTTTTAAGACAGCCTTGTTCTTTGTAGTTTTACTACATTCATTTGATATTTTTTGGTGGTTGTTAATTGTTTACATTGTTGTTTCATGGACGGTTTTCTTTCATATTTCAAATATATTATTTCATATATATTAAACATATTTCACGTACTGTTTTCTCTGCTCTGTTTACTTCACACTATATCAACTCACATTGTAGAACTTTCCATGATTCCCTGTATTCATCACATTTGTCTTTCTTACAGCACAATAATATTCTAATAAATTCATGTACCATAATTTGTTCAGTCACTTCAGCTGTGTCTGACTCTGAGACTGGAGTGGTTTGCCGTTTCCTTCTCATTTACAGATGAGGAAACTGAGGCAAAAAGGATTAAATGACTTGACTAGACCTAGTAAGTGTCTGAGGCCAAATTAGAACTTGGGAAGATGAGTCTTCCTGATTTGAGGCCTGGCACTCTATACAATGTGCCACCTAGTTACTCCTTAACAATAGCAGTAACACTAACAACCACCACCATCATAATTTGTTTAGCCATTCCCCAATCAATGGTTATCTACTTTGCTTCCACTTTTTTTTTTGGGGGGGTATTACAAAAGGTGCTGCTATAAATATTTTGGTAGATAAGAACTTTTCTTATACCTCCATGGGGTAGAAGCCTCTCTGGGTCAAATGTGTATGGGCATTTCAGTCACTTTATTTGCATAATTCCAAATTACTTTCGAAAATGGTTGTACTAATTTGCAGCTCCACCAACCATGCGTTAATGAGTCTATCTTCTCAAATCCCGTCAGCATTGACTAGTCACATTTGTTATCATTTTTCTCAATTTGCTGAGTGTGAAGTGAAACCTCAGGGCTGTTATATGTAGCTAGGTGGCAGAGTGGATAGAACCTTGGATTGGAGTCAGGAAGTCCTGAGTTAAAATCTGGCCTGTGGCCCTGGGTAAGTCACTTAACACCTCTCTGCCTTAGTTTCCTCATCTGTAAAATGGGAACAATAACAGCACTTATCTCCCAGGGTTGTTGTAAGAATAAAATGAGATATTTGTAAAATGTTTTGTAAACCATAAGAAGAGAAAGGCACATGCATTTATTAAATATTATTATGTGTCAGCACTGTGCTTAATACTTTGCTATACATCTGGACTCAGGTCTTCCATCTTCAGGCTAATATTCCTAAAATACCACTTGCTACTGAAACTCAGAGCTGGTGCCAAGGAAGGGGCTGCACTCTCCCCTCCCACCCCAGGACCCGAGACCATGCAGCACCTGGAAGGACCTTGATAGAGTTAGTGCCAATTTGCAGTAATACCTCCCCTTTTCCACA